CATATGTTTACTGCTTGATTGCAAATATCAAAAATATGTTTACTGCTTGATTGATTGAAGCAAAGGTAACCATAGGCACACAATCCAGCATTCCCAAATTGTTCCCAGCATCCATCCAATTGTTAATTTTTATCAACATTGCTCTTTCAATCTTAACCATTTCTTGCTTTCTAATTATGGTTTTTGCAACTATATTTTTCTCCCTATACATATTATACATTCTTTTTCTCAACATTTTTTGCAGCTATCATTCTCACATATGCATTTTTCTCCCATCCACTGCCTCTTTCACTTCCTCTTTCACCCAAACATCCTTCGTACTTCCCATTAGTGTAAGGCCATGGACTTCAGTGGCCCTCCATAACCTCATTCTTTTCACTTCATTCCAAGCAGCTTCCACATCCTATTTCCTTACATCTACTTTCCATTCATTCTGTTGGGAGACTAGTCTTCTAATACTTGTTCATACAGGATTCATACTTTCTGTTCCCACAGTTCTGCTTTCATTTTCATTTCTTTTCTTTCATCCTTTCCCCCCAAAATTCACTCTTAACACTACCAAAAAAAATGGTCTATCGCACATTCAGAACCTCTCATCCCCTTGTATCAATCACTAAGTCAGTCTAATTAAATCAATCATGTTTTTAGGTTTATACTCATTCCTTTGCCATGTGTATATATTAATCTTAGTAATCTTTGCCTTTTATACACCAAATTTTCTTTAATTTTATATTCTGAAGCTAACTTAGGAATGAGTTCTAACATACAAATTAGTAAAATATTTATTTTAAACCAAAGATGGCACAGTATGATTTTTGAGGGGAAAAAAGTGTTGCTGTCTCAAAGCAGAAATACGAATTTGTTTTTTTCCATTAGAGACCAGTCCTCTTCAGCTACATATTACTGTAAAGAAAACTCTAACTTAGAAGCCAAACCCCCCCCCTCAGAATTGCATAAGGAGTGGATTTACTACAGGAAATTAAAAGCAAATGAAGATGAAGTTTCACTCAGGCGGAAACAGGTATTCATACAAATCTTCAAAAACCTGGTGCATTACAGAAACATTGATTATACCTCAGGAGCCCCTATATTTTTAATCAACATGCCTAGTCATACACTCTGTAGCTGAAGTAGATATGATAGTTTCATCTGATTTGCCACCTTTAAATCCCAATTGTGACCATCCTCTCTATTACTTCCCACACTATGCAAGAAGCAGCTACAGTATGGCCCTGCCACCAACCCCCAGCAATTTACTCAATATCGAGACTTCAATCTCAGGAAGACAGATGGGCCCAAGAATCCCACCCTCGGGGCATGTTTCAAAGGCTGAATGTTAATCTGGTATGGGGACACATAAGGAGCCCCATCACTACCCACTGTGTTATTGGTACCATCGGTATTAGGCACATTGGTCCTCGCTGACAAATGCTGACTTTGATATCTTCCCTACCTATAGTTTTGCCTACCCCCACCCCCAGTATGATATTGCAAAGAGAATATGTAATGGTTAACAGTTACCTCATCAACAGTATTTCAGGAAAATATGAGACTCTATTCCACGTTTTTCACAATCACAATTTTGAATTTAAACCTCTGTTGGCTATAACAGGTTGCCATCAACATTGATTCTCTCAGTTTCCTCTGGTTGAGATTTGTCATGACAGAGATATTTTCAGCCTGGACAACCATTTTCATACTGACATCATTAGCAGTCCTATTCACAGGCATATTTACCTGGAATGTGACGGGTCACAATCATTGTAAGACTCGTTGTGAAAGTCTTGTGCTTCAGGTTCTTACCAGTACCATGACACTTCTGTGGATTTAGAGGTTACTGTTGTTTGCCAGGACAATGTCACTCCCATGTCTTTGGTGGCATTGCTCAGCACTGCCAACAACTTAATGTGAATGAAGCAAGCTATAAAACAGAAATGATGCTGACAGCTACTCATGTCTGCTCTACAACTGCAGAGAAATTCCACATTGAGATGGTAGTTGTTCCAGCACCCGTACTAACAGATCAGTTGCCAGTGGATGATGACTCAGAACTCTGTAGTTACCATGGCATGAGTCTTGAGGAAAGTTATAGCATAACTGTAAAGAATTGAGGTAAAAGTCCCCCACCATCACCTTCTGGAATTGGCCATCAACATAGGAACAGAGCCACGTAACCCAAAATCTTAGGCACCCTAGAGGTTGATTGTATATAAAAAAAATTGAAAGATCCATGGAAGGAGCATGGTCACATTTTCCAGCATAAGGTGATCAAGGAATTCTTCATTCCTAAATGAGACCTGAAGCACAGTTCAAATAGATACAGAGAATCAATTTCACTGAAGTATCTGTAGTTTCCTGCCAATCATAACTGAAGCACTTTGCTCAGAAAAGAAATTTTAGTAATTAGAGTATTATTCCTTACTTCCTCCAGATCCAGATTAGCTTTCTTTTTAAAAAGTTAATCTGTGGCCTAATTAGTGCCGCCTTTAAAGGTAAATCTATAGCTTAAAAAAATCCTCACCACTCATCTTATAACATTACTTGAGGCCATAGACATATAGGCAGTTTTTTCAGATGCCTAAATCAAATGCTGAGAGTGGTTTTTGTCTCTTCTTTATGTAGGTACAGCAAAGGGCAGATGAATGCATTAGAGCTCTTGATCTTTTGCTCGAAATTAATTCTGGAAATCCAGCTATGAATGTGCTGCCTTTAAATTTCAACTGGAGTCTTTTAAAGGTAAAGGAAGTAGATGATTCCCCTTGCTAATTGGAAATTAATAATTTTACATGCTGTACTATGTATTTCAGACTGGTGCTTTCTGCTTGTTGAAATCCTACTGTAAAACAATATAAAACTTAGTTTTTATCCCGTTGTGGTGTCTGATGAAACTGATTTTGTATTTCTCTAATGCTTCAGACAATGCCAGAAAATCATATATAAATTACCATTAATGCAACAATAATATAACATGTATATCTTTTGGGGTAACTGAATAATGCTTATGACTTGTTAATTTTCTTAAGCATAGGTAACTTCTTTTAAAGCGTGGGTAAGCAACATAAATCCATTTCCATGATTGCTTCTAAAGAAAAGGGCAGTGCTGCTTACCTTTCTAGACAAAATGTATCATTCAAGAGTTTCCTTAAGAGAGAACCTGATTAGATGAAAAGCCATTTACTTCATCACTTCATTGACTAACCAGCCTTCTTGGATATGTTTATACATTTACTAAGATACATATTAAAGCCGGGGTCTCTAACATGGCACCAGTTTTCCTGTGCCACCTGATTTCTTACATTAAAAATAAAATTAATTTGTCTGAGAGCCTCCTGAGTCACCCAATGAACTCTGGGTTCAAGTGCAGCCCTGAAGTAGACTTACCCCAAGGTCTGGGCCTACAGACCTGAACATAGATCCAAATCCAATATCATACAGGTGTTCACCTAATTCTTTGCAGCAGATCTATTGCACGCCTGGTATTAATCTGTATGTGTGTTACTCTATCATATGAAGCTCCATAATTAAGCTGTTCATAGTAGTCATCATTTCCAATTAGTGCTAACCACAATTTGAAACAAAAGTTATTTGTGGGCTTCTCATTCCTGTGTACATTATCCAGAAATAGCCATCATGTGGTAGGCTTAATGTTAGAGGATCTGCTGAACGTGGTTAAGAAATGTAATGGACATCCCTTCATGTTAATTACCTGCAGCAGTTTAATATTGGCAACAGTTGTAGCAACTAAAATATAAAACAGCTAGAGGGCACTAAGTTGTCTATCCTTGATTTAGAGGAATCAGGATTCTCAGTTTAGGAAGAATTTATTTTGAGAAGCATGGGGCGACTATGTGGAAACCTCTAAGTCTTCTAACACATTGGCAGCTGCTGTGGATTGCAGTAGCAATGCAGACTGGTACTGAATTTCAGATGTGGAGCCATTTTGCAATACTATTTGGTTATTTAATTAGAAAAATGACAACTTACTTTGAAAATGGTTATATATGTAAATGTGATAAATATTATTGTTTAACACACAGAAGTTAAAGAGTCATATTTTAAAGTCCTATATAATATACACACACACACATACATACATAATTTAATACATTAACAATAATTTGAGCTCATTTAAAAAAGGAGCAGTCAATAGTTATTTTATTTTAAATAACTTTACTCCTATTAGAAAACATCTGCAGTCCTTTTTTGCTCCTCTGGCTATTTTCCTTTGGATCCCTATGACTTTTTTTGCCCTGACTGCAGTAATTCCTGATTAAATTAGCGTAAGACAAGACTGAATGTGACTTTCTGTCCATAAAAGGTTGACTGCTCCTGCTTCATAATACGTTATTTTATAAACTTAACTGGAAGTTCATAGGTCTTCCTTAGCCTTTGGAACGGCTTCATTCTAATAT